GCTTTGGCGGGGTCCTCCGGAGACACGGGAGGCAGGGAACGGAGCAGACCGGTTCCAGATGGCTCACGATAAGGGGCGGACGAGCTAGCAGACTGTGGACGTTCTCACCCCGTTCTGCTCTGGAGCCCAGTGCCGCAGGGTTCCTGCAGCCCATCACAGCCAGCTCTGGAGCACGGTTGCTCGGCCACTGCTGGGCAAAGCCACTTGGCCGTCTGACAGACGGACGGCTCAGAACAGCTACTGCCTGCAAACCCAGCAACAGCGCCCCATGCCCCTTGTGAGCCAGGGGACTGCCTAGAACCATCCTTCAAAGGAGCTAGCCTAGAACCAGGGGACTGCCTAGCACTGTCCTACAAATGAGCTATCCTAGAACCAGGGGCCAGTCTAGCACCATCCCACAAATGAGCTAGCCTAGAACCAGAGGCTGTCTAGAACCATCCTACAGATGAGCTAGCCTAGAACCAGGGGCCAGTCTAGCACCATCCTACAAAGGAGCTAGCCTAGAACCAGGGGCCAGTCTAGCACCATCATAAAAAGGAGCTAGCCTAGAACCAGGGGCTGTCTAGAACCATCCTACAGATGAGCTAGCCTAGAACCAGAGGCCAGTCTAGCACCATCCTACAAAGGAGCTAGCCTAGAACCAGGGGCTGTCTAGAACCATCCTACAAAAGAGCTAGCCTAGAACCAGGGGCCAGTCTAGCACCATCCTACAAAGGAGCTAGCCTAGAACCAGGGGCTGTCTAGAACCATCCTACAAAAGAGCTAGCCTAGAACCAGAGGCCAGTCTAGCACCGTCCTACAAAGGAGCTAGCCCAGAACTGGAGATGGTCTAGCACCATCTCACGATGGAGTTAGCCCAGCCAGAGGTGAGTGTGCTGCACCATCCCACAGTGGAGTGCTGCCCTTAAGGCTCTAGAGCATTCCAGACAAGCTGTGGCGCTGGAAGCCTTGCATCCCGTGCAGTCTCCCCCACCTAAACACGGTGTATGCCCCTCCCCACTTACCGGCTCTCCAGGAGTCCCTTTCTCCCCAGGAAGACCCGGCTTTCCTCTCTCCCCCTGAAACACAGAATATGCATCGCCGTAGGACCCCACGTCTCTTTCTGTGCAGCGCTGTGCGCCTCGCGATCCGAGTTCCTGCTGGCGCGATGCGGGAGCGGCTCTTCCCAGCCAGGCAGCCCCAGCGTGCTCATTTGTGGACGTGGAGCCAGGCTGGCTGTCGAGCACCTTGGTCTAGGTCCAGTC